CTTCTCAGCATGCTCTACCGATGCTGCTAGAATAGAAGTGGCTAAAATAATGGGAGAACAGTTTGAATTGCCTCAAGGATTGGCTGAAAATGCTGATATTTTTAAAGAATTTTTTAGCATATCTACATGGCAAAGTTTAAGTCCATCTGATCAAGCCCATTTGCAGGTAACATATTAAATTATATTTGTAATTATAGGCCAAACTTTACATTTTATCGTTATTATTTAAGCAATGTAAATTTCTTATTATATTCAAACAATATTGTTAATGTTTTAAAAAAATTATTTTTTTTAGCAATTCTTGCCATCATTTCCTGAAAATGATTCCTATGAAAAAAATGTGACACTAAAACGTTTATTTAACAGAGAAAACTTCAAATTTGGATCTCCATTAGTAACATTTTTTAATAATTTACAAAATGGTCATTTTAGACCAGACATAGCTCATTTAAGATGTTTAATGAAAAAAGCAGAAAGGAGGCAGTATAGGTTAGTAATTATTGTTAGGTTAATCTTTTAAGATTTTTGCCTTTTTTTTCTGAGAATAGTATTTTTAAAATTATTAGTGATTATTAAATAATGAATTACTATATTATTTTAAATAAATTTTTCTTTTATATATTATAAGGGAGCAGAGGAAGAGACATTGCTTTGAGCTTTTAAAGGAAGTAATAGTTGGTCGAAGGGAGGTATTAGAAGCAGCATATAATTCACCTTTGGGACCTGTTAAAATTCCTAAAAACTATTACAGTAACAATCCAGCAGTAGATCCAGTACTTCAGAGAGTTAAAAAAAGGTATGTTTTTACTTTTTAATTATAAGTTTCATGTTATAAACAGTTTACTTTTCGAAAATATGTTTAAAATTATTTATTTTCTTTTCGAGTTTTAGTTAACGAAATAAAAATTTTGTAATTTAAGTAATTTTTATCTCTCAATTATGGGTTCAAATTTAATTTTTACTTTAATAAGTAATTTTTATCTAATATTTTATTTAAAACTGTAGATATTTCCAAGAATTATCTGCTGTAAGAAGTGAAGTTGGTGAATATTCTCAAAGTTCAGAGGATGAAAACTATCAAGATGGAGCTCCTAGAACATTAAGTAAAAAACAAAAACAAAAATTAAACATTTTGGAAAGTAGCCTAATGTCTACCGGTATGAACATGGTAGTGTCTACAATGTCTACTAAACCTAATGGATTTGATCTCGAGTCCAATGTCACAATAACTTCTAATCCATATGAAATTAATGAAGAACAGTTTAGGAAAATGCTTTTTAATCACAAAAAGCGACGAATGAACAATGAAGTAAGTACTTCATTTTACTTTTAAATTAACTAAATTTTTTTCAGATTATGGAACATATTTCATAATCGAATAAATATTACATATGAATTATTTAGATAATTTTAATTATTAATAATATTTTTGTTTCAATCCTCATCTTTAAAATTTTGTTTTAACTAATTTGCACGGTTTTTTTTTTTTTTTTAGAAACACATAGAGTTAAATACATCTGGAATAACATTAAATGATGTAGCTCTTCGTACTCAATTCGGTCAAAAACGTTTATTAGCAAAACCAAACGGCAACGGTTTAGGAAATATTGGTTATTCTGATAAACATAAAAAAAAAAGTAGTAGTAATAATAATAATGGCTTTGGACAAAAACTAAAGGAAAGTCTAGATATTTCTTCATCCTCAATAAAAAGAGCCAAAAAGCAAGAAATCGAAGTAGATGGGGACACTAAATCAGACGAATCAACCGATGATGAAGTTTCATCGACGGTCATGATGAGTGAATCCGAAAAAAACATAGATATAGAATACAGTAGTCCCACTAATATTTCTCAAAGCCAAAAATTGTTAGGAAAACAAAATTCTGATCATAAATTTCAAAAAAGTTTTATCTCCGGATCAGAAATAGGTTCCATAGAAAAAATGGAGAAAAACGATACTTCGAATTTAAGTCTACCATTAGAAGAAGACAATGACTTAAAATACAGGTTAATTAATTTTTTTTTATGCATGACTTATCTGTGGCAATCATAAATTACTTAACACATTCAAAATTAATGTTTTATTCTTTGCTTTTAGACGTACATCTGAACTTGTTCAAGATACTCATGTAAGTTTTTTTTCTTTACTGCGAGACATTATTTGTTCATCACCTAATCATAGAATGACTCTTGATAAAATTGAACATCATTTAAAATCCTGGGAATTAAATCCAATTTCTCCACTCAATGATTGGTTTACGTTGGTGGATGAACCTTGGACTTCTTTATTAGAATCCGCACTTAGTTTTTTATCTGCTGATTATCCTGGTAATTATTTGGATAAATATAAAAAATATCAGGCAAAAATAAAATATTGGAATAATTTAAAATTAATTATAAAAAGCAAAATGAATAAGGTGCAAATTTTTTTTTCAATTTTTAGATTTACAACCTGATGATTTTGTGCCCTATATAGAATATAAATCTCAAATTCAATCTTATCAGTGGATTGGAGCCGGTCGAGATTCAGATTCACATTTACTTAATTTGTGTTCTCACTGGCTCGATCGAAAGGACGATGTTTATCATTCAAATTTATTAGGGGAAAATAGTAGAAATCAAGAGGAAGTCGTGGGAGAATGTTTAGAAGAAGTAGAGGAACCGAAGGGAGAAGTTCCCAATGATTTTGTTCCTCCTCCAAGATGTCCCACCAATTGGACGGTCAGGCTGTCAACCGAAGAGGAAAGAAGAATTTTTCAGGTTCGGTGTTTTTTAATACGCGTGGTAATCATATATTTTAGGTTTTGTAAATTTATGATTTCTAAAAATTTCAGATTCAAGAATTGGAGAGATTTGAGAATCCACATAAAGCCTTTACCTATAGAATGCACGGCTATGAAAGTGTTGTTGGACCAGTTAAAGGAATTTATATCACCCAAACATCCAGTTCAGTTTTAAAACCAAGAGGCCACAATCTTTTAGCTGTGAATAGGCCAAGTTATGTCACTATTTTAGCTTTAGGTAGGTTACAAACGAACGAATGTGTTTCATGTATTTGAATTCTTTCTTTATTTTATAAAATATTATTATTAAATATTACTTTGAAGTAAAATGAAATGTTATTCACAAATTTTAAATATAATTTGGTAAAAAAAAAAAAAAAAAAAAATTTCAGTACGAGACGCTGCAGCCAGATTACCAAACGGCGAAGGAACGCGAGCGGATATATGTACTCTTATTCGGGACAGTCAATACCTGGATTTATCAGAAGCTGCCGAAAATACATTGCAGAGTGTGGTGTCTGGTGCATTAGATCGTCTTCATTACGAAGTAGACGCATGTGTTAAATTTGACACAAAAAGAAAGCTATGGATTTATTTGCATAGGCGACGATCAGAAGCAGAAATGGGTATTTTACTTTAAAAACAATATAATTAGTCATTGCGTTTATTAAAATTTCACTTTCTGACTGCTTATAATTTCTTTTTTTTTTTTTTTAGAAAAAATTCATCAGCAGTATCAAGGTGTTGCAAAAACATTAAAAAAACCACCCCGAAAAAGAACTATTAAAAAACCCGATAGTGTGGAAAGCAAAGACAAAGATAGTTTAATTAAAGAAGGTGGAGATAAAAGAAAAGCAAAAACAAAGCAAAATATGGTCGTGCAGCCAATGTTAAAAAATGTCGATACTCAAGTATTTCAAAATGTGACAGCTGATACCAAGTTTGTGGATAAACAACAAAAGGAAACGCTGTCGGAAACACAGGTTGAAGATTTCATGGTCATGGAAAGTCAAGTTCTGGAAGATTTGATGAGTCTTAGTTGCGAGACTTTCAAAACTTCTGGAGAACCGGATCATTCTGCCGTGAAACAAGAAAAAACTGATATAGAATTAGAGAGCAGTGAAACCAAAATAAAGACCATTTCAAATAAAATGCCCGGACAATCTTTGCTTAATCAGGATTTTATAAACAAAAGTACATTGGTTCAGGGGAATAATTTAAGAGTTTTAAAAGCAAAACAAACGAAACCAGGAGTTTTAAATTTGGTGTCAACTGGAGACAAACTACAGCAATCAGACGGGCAAGCAGTTATTGGTCACATTTTGAAATCGGACAACAGACCACAAGAAATAGTTACAACGGCGGGGAAAAAAATTATTATTCAAACTAGTTTTGCAGGTAAGCTGTGTGAACAGTGTAAATAATTTTTAAAAGTATTATATTATTACTTTTTTTTTTCTTTAAACTCGCACAAATTTTTTTTAAATGAAAGTAATCTGTTTTCTTCAATTGTGTGTCTTAAATACTAATATGTAGTTTCAGGTGGAAGAACTCCTGTAAAATTTGTTACGGCCAATACAAATCAATTGGGAAGAAAAATTATAACAACAAAACAAACGTCACCTCAAATTCAACGCATTACACCTAGTTTATCTAAAGTCACAAATACATCGCAACAACAAATTAGAACCGTAGGAAATCAACAACAAGATGGAGCTTTGCATGGTGTAGTCAAAACAACTCCGGCAACTCAATTCGTTCAAAATTCTGGCATTGTGACCGCTCACGTTAAAGGATTATCGACAGGAACTCAATTTTTAACGGCCACCGGTCAAAAAGTGCAAATAATTGCTGGTTCTCAAAATTTAGGTTTGTCTATTTTTTATAATTTTTTATTAATAGTCTTTTTTTTTTTTTTAAATTTATATTTGAAGTCATTTTACTTTGCAGTTAGTTTTACGTACTTTATATAATTTTAGGTCAAATTCAAAGTATACATCTTGGTGGGGGTCAGAATATTTTAGCACAAAACGTTCATTCTACTTCAAGTAATATCAATGCACAAACTGCCAACCTCATCGGTAACATTCAGCAAGTTCAATTATTGACATCAGCTGGTCAAATAATTACCAAAGCTTTACCAATATCAAACGCAACCGAAGAAAAAACATCGGAAGCGGTAAAAATTTCGTCTCCAACTTTAAAAGTTGGGTCTTCTACAGTTCCTAATATTTCAACTGTAAGAAATGCTATCACTGGTCAGCAGCTTCAAATGACAATAACAAAACCTACGGGAGGGAAAACAATTAAAAATGTTAAAATGGTGAGGGGAGGTTTCGTATTAATGCTTTTTTAATTTTTTTGTTTTTTTTTTATTCAAGGAAAACTCTGACTTTTTTAATTACAGGTAACTTGTCAACCTTCCGTTTCTGATAGTGCAAAATCAATGTCACTACTAACGACGAGTCAGCAAAAAAATACGAATGAGAAAAAAGAAGTCAAAGAACAAAAAATAATCGTTCAAAAAACCTCGGCCGGTATGGCTGGGAAAATAGGAACCCAATTATTAAATGTTTCTAGTGTTCAATTATTAAATCCGCGAACGAACCAGGGTCAAATACAAACGATCACAAAGCCTATAATTACTAAAAATAATGCTCCTATTTTGACAGGCGTCAAACTTGTTAACACACAACAAGGCGGTGAGTTTTTTTTTTTTTTTTTTTTAAGTCGAGAGATTTTTAAAATTTTGTTAATGCAATTCACATAATTATTAATAACGAAAAAAAAAAAAAAAACAGTAAAAATGGTAGCAACTTCCTCTACCGTGGTACAAAATGCGATACAACCTGCGAAACCCGTAACTCATATATCAAAACTTACGTCAAACACCAATCAAAATTCTGCAAGTACAAATAAAGGTCAAAACAGGCCGGCTCAAATAATTTCAATGGAAAGTTTACTGCAAAACGCAGGACATTTGAGAGTGGCATCGACGGGAAAAAGTAAATTAATATTTATATTTTTCCTTTTGCATTACTTTAAATAAAATATCTTACGGGGCATCGGAAATGTTATATAAAATGTAAATTTCAGGTACGGCAAGTTTAATACAGATACCTTCTTCTACCGACGGAGTTCCTCAGTTTGCTGTTGTTTCTCAAGGAAATGTGATCTCGGTAGCTGGGCAACCACGCGTTATTCAAACACAGCAAATAGTGAGTAAAACCCGTGACGTAAAAATTTATTTATTTTTTTGATTATTATAAGATGTTTTTAAAAAGTTGAATTTAATAAATGAATTTTGTATTATTTGCAGACCAACGCATCTCAAAGTCAAACTCATTTAGCAACATCGACGGCAACAATCAATCAAGGGAAAGCTATCATTAACAAAAATACTACTACTCCGGCTGGTACTGGGGTGAGAGTTAGCGGAGCAGTTAATTTAGCTACCATTGCTGGAAAACCAATGATATTGACGAGCGGATCCAAAACTCAAGGCCAACATCCCGTAAAAACATTTTTTTTTTTAAAGTCGACTCCATATCAAATAAAAATTTTTTTTTTAACGGAAAATTTTTTTTGTTTAACAGAACGTCATACTTACTTCCCAGAATCCCGGGAACAATCAAGCAATTGTTTTAACTCAGGGAAACGTGAGAACTCAAAACAATTCAGGCACCGTTACTCTTGTTCAACAGGGCACAACACAGCAAATACTTCTTCCGGCAGGTTTTCAAGGAGGTACAATAAATTTAAAATCACTTCCCGGAGTCAAAGTCATACCGTTTACGGGAACGACTCAAAAAGGAAGACAACAAGTTTACGCCAGGATCGTTAAAACTAGTAATCAAAATAGTCCGCAGCCAGGCACAGATAATTCTGTCGATGAACAATGAAACAAATTATTAATTAGTTATTAATAATTATTTTAATGCTTAATGTTAGAGACATTTTGTTTAAATATTTATTTCGAAATCGAAAAACTTTATATCTAAAAATTAACCAAAACTTTAACTGAATGGGTTGTTGAACTTGACAAATAAAAAAAAATGTTCATTTTTTTTTTCAACTCTCCTCCTCCTTTTTAAGGAGGAGAGGAATCATCATCAAAAAAAAATTTATTGATTTATGATTTATATAAAATGATAATAATTCATTTTCATTATAAATCTGCGCAAAACATTTAAAGGAAATGAATGAACAAAAAGTATTATTATTATTTAATTAAAACTATTATTGTATGCTTTAATTTAAATTATTTTTTACCGATTATTATTATTATTATTGTTATTCATTTAAACATAATCATTCATTATTTTCTGTGACCCTGATAATAATTTTTTTTTTTTTTATCCCCCCCCCCGGTGTTGATATTTTTAAAGAGGTTTAATAATGTAATTTTATCAGTAAAAATTTTCACTCATCAATTTATAATATACAGTTTTTATTTTAATTATTGATTTTTATCCGTTATCAATTATATATTATTAATTGATGAAAATTAACATAAAATAAAAAAATGTTTCTTATCATATTTATAATTTTTATTTGGTCAGTTCAAATACCCCAAAAAAAAAAAAAAATCAATAAATAAAATTACATAAATTTTATGTAAGATAGTATATTTATTTTCAATTAGAAAAAAATATGAAAATAAAGGGGTGGGAAAGTGGGAGGGAAGGGGAGGGAAGGGGAGGGCGTGGACAAGAAAACTGAATAATTACTTAAAATTTATTATTATTATTATTACTTGGATTAAAATTATGATTTTTTAATTTAATCAAAATAATTAATTATTAATTTTTGTAATTATTATTTTTTTTTCCCCACATTATTGATTGTATTTTGGTAAATAAAAAATTATTTCATGTTTCAATTAATAGAATAATCAATTTTTTTTTTTTGATAAAATAAAATTAAATGTTTTTATTAATAAAAAAAAATTATTATTATTATTTTATTACGTACTAATCATAATTTATTTAATAGGTATTAAGGGTACGGAATCGTTTAATTTTTTTTTTTTTTTTCAAAATTGATCCGAGAAAAAATTTTCACATTATGCGGATTAACATAAGATTTCATGTTTTATTATTATTATTATTATTTCAATATTGAAATTTATTAACGGAATGTAATATTTATTTACTAGCCTTTTCAAAAAATATATAAAAAATTTGTAAATAGTATAATTAATATGAAAAAAAAAAATGTATTTAATATTTCAAAATAAGTTAAACATTTGTATAATGAAAATATAATTAAAAATATTATTTATATTATTTTTTATATTGTATAAAAAAAAAAGAAAAAACAAATTTTTAATATGAGGGGCTATAATTACATTTATTAAACCAAAATATTATTTTCAAAACAAAAAAAAAAAAAAATTATTGTGATTATTTCAATAACATAATCAATTAATCACATGATTAATACAACGTATTACGTTTTTACACTTTAACAAATAATAATAATAATATCTGTAAATTTTTTTTTTAATTTAGAAGAAGGCATACGAATAGTAATAATAATAATAAATAATAATAATAAACGTGACGTAAAAAGGTTGTTTAAAAAAAAAAAATGTATAAAAAAAATTTTTTTTTTTTTCTTCAATTTTAGCAATAATAAATTTTCGGCATTATTCAAATGCCTTTTTTTTAAATTAATTATATAAATAAATAATTAATATGAATGATAATTAATAAAAAAATAATAATAATAATTAAATAAATAATAAATAAATTTATTTAAAAAAAAAAAATTAAAATTTTTTTTTTAAAAAATTATTTTTTTATGTGGTGGATTATTTGTGTGGGTGTGTGTGTGGGCGTGGGCGTGTTTCGTTAATATTTAAATTCGATTATATAAATATTGTACCTTTTTTCCAGGGGAAATTTTTTTTTTTTAATTGCCCCCCCAATCCCTTAATAATAATAATATATACATAAACGTTTTATTTTTTTTTTTTATTTTAATTTTATATCAAACGCAATATTAATTTTAATGGATAATAAAGTTTTTATATCTTTATTATTATTATTATTATATGGGTTTTCCTTCTTTTTTTTTTTTTTTTTTTATGAATTTTGCAACAAAATTTTGAGCCTTTTTGTGGCCAAAATGCAAAATTTTTTTTATTTATTTTTATAAAAAAAATATTTTTTATAAAGTGTTATAATTTTTTTTTTTTTTTTTTTGTTTTCATTGATCATGTCGAAAATGTTATTTTATTCGAAAATATATATACTCGTGGGAAGATTAAAAGACCCGTGACCTTTTGACCTAGTTCATTGATCGCCTGGAAAAATATTACCCGTGAAAATCTATGAAATATATATAATTCAAGTCACTTGTACTCGTGTATTTATATATTTTTGTCATTTGATATTTGCACATCTTCACCTCTGGAAGGAAAAAAGAAAAAAAAAAATATGAAAATAAAAACCAAAATAAAATTCTTGAATGGTTTAACAGGTGGCTGTAAATGAGCGCAAACTCAAAAAATAATATATATATATATATAATCTTCCCGGTGCAAAATGAAAAAAATGTGCTCAGATAATCTGTAACATTTTTTTTGAGAAAGATTTTCTCTTTTTTTTTTTACATGTATATTTTTAATATTGCATGTAAATGTTTAAATTTTTATTGATTTAAATAACTAAAAACTAATGATAACCTCATCACATAAATAAAATTTAGCCCAATTATTCAAAACATTCTACTATTCCTTTCCATGTTTACAACAGATTACATTTGTACAACATGTACAACAAATTTAAACTTTATTATTATTATTATTATTATCATTGGTTTTTGTGATTGATAACATAATCATTCCAGTAAACTTTTGGAAAACTTACAAAATATAATAGTTATTAAACTTTTTCTATTTGTTTTCTCTTGTAAATAATATATAAGATGTTGATACTGAATGCATACATCTGTAATATAAAAATGTTTTGATTTATTATACTTATTAATTAATAAAAAAGGTTTATTTATTTATTTATTTCATTACATATTCATAATACTTTCCTCAATAAATATAATTTGAATAAGACAAATTTATTTAAATTAAGAAAAACTTATCTTTTGTTATGTTTTATGTGAACATTGTCTTCTTGAATATAATAATAATAATAATAATAGTTTAGGAATCAGGTGCAAACATGACAAAAAAAAATTTTTTTTACAATCAATATTTGTTAATAATTTTGTTTCATAACGTCAACCATCTGTATTTTAAATTTTTGTTTTAAAAAAAAACTATATATATATATATATATATATAAATATGTTCTTTTTTTCATTTTTTTTTTTCATTTTTCATTTTTTTTATTATTATTATTAAGAAAACAAATCTTTTTTAAATTTTTTTTTCCATTACGCCGAATCTTAAAAGAAAAAAACTTTATCGCGAGAAGTTAAAAGTACGTATTTAATTTAAATAAACATGATTTATTTATAAGCTAAGTATAAGAAAAGTATAATTTCCCTAATAAAAACTA